TCCTAGCCCGGGCAGATGGGTGCCAGCCGTGGGCCCGGGGCGGCCTCTGCCTCCACTGAGTGTGTATTTTCTGCCCACTGTGCCCCCGACTCCTTTCTTGGCCTCCGGGCCCCTCTTTGGCTACCCAGATCTCACCGAATTACAAACGATTCGGGTTAATTTCCCGGCCTCTGCTCCCCACCCTCATCTTGCTAAGGTCTCCGAGCGGGGTTGGGGGCGCAGTGGGGAGCAGACCACCAGGGACCTGCGTCCTGCTCCGTCCCCGCCCGCGCGGGGAGGCAGCGGCTGGAACCCCCGGCTGCCGGCCTCTCCGGATCCGCTGCTGCACTTTCGCTCGGGCATCTCTTCACCCCTGCGAGACGCCTCGGTGGGTTGCCATGGCTACCCCCAATCAGATTGGGCTTCCGGCGGAAATTGGATTTTAAAGAAGGCCAAGGCTTCGAAGGAATTTGTCCATTTAACAGAGTGCCCTTAGGAGCGCGGACTGGTGAAGCTGCGGGGGGCTCGGAGGATTAAGGGGGTCGGGGGCGAGCAGCCTGATGCACCTGGCAGTTCCGTGCTGGAATCCGCCAGTCACGCACGCGCACACCCGCTCCCCTGCCTGCTGAAACCAGAGGTCCTGTGGGAGAAGGCAGTGGACCTTGTCGCTAGGTGTGAGCCAGGTGTGACAGACAGCAGGGCCGGGATCAGCCACTCCTTAGCTCCCGGCCCAAACGAGCGGGCGACCACCACGCCAGCTTCTCCAGCTTTTCAGCTCCTGTCCACGCACCCCAAAGTGACCCCAGAGCAGCTGCAACTTTCGAAGGAGAGCGACGCGGTTGGTAAAATGCCCCAGGGTGGTCGGGCGTGGGGGCGCACGCCTGTGATTCCAGCACTCGGGAGGCTGAGGTGGGAGGATCACTGTGAGTTCCAGGCCAGCCTGGGCCACGAGCGAGACCACGAAACCAAGTCACACTTCCTTTTTGGATGGCAGGATGCAAAGAAGGCTCCCTGCACCCCCAGCCTTCAGGTTCTGCCTCTGGAGGAAGGACTTCTAGAGGCAGGCACTCCTGCCATGAATCCTTTTGGACAGGGATTCAGCACTTGCTTCTGTGCCCATCCCACCTTCCAGGCCAAACCCATCACTGTTTCAGCCTAGGTTGCTGTAAAAACCGCTTTACTCGCTCCCGTGCTCTCTCTTACCCCTTGCAGTCCCTCTTACATATTCTGTAGGTCAAGTTGGAGAATACAAATGCCCCACCTCCCATAAAGAAGGAAAATCATAAGGGTAACGAGAGAAGTGTGTGGCCACATACTGTACAGGAGTCCGGGTGAGGTCACTCTCCAGCTCAAGAATTGTCAATGGCTCCCAAGGAGCCTCTGAGCTGAATTCAAAATCATCCTTCTGCCTTCCAAGACCTTTCATAATAGAGCTTGGATTTACTTTGACAGGCGTAGTTTCCTGACACCTTGCGGTAAAGGACGGCTGCCCGGTGTCCCTCATCCTTGGTTATCTGGCCCTTCCACCTGGGGCGTCCTCACACCCCTTCACGGTC